GCAAGCTTGTAAGGAACCAGTTTGGATTAAAAGACTACTAGAAGAAATCAGACACAAACAAGAGAAAATTTCTTTGTATTGTGATAGTCAGAGTGCCTTGCACATTGAAAGAAATCCAGTTTTCCATTCCAGCACAAAATATATAAGAGTTCAATATCATTTTGTTTGAGAAGTAGTGGAAGAAGGTAGGGTGGAGATGCAAAAGATTCACACAAAAGACAACTTGGCAAATGTCATGACAAAGCCAATCAACGCTGACAAGTTTATATGATGTAGATCTTCTTATGGCTTGTTAAAAACGTAAGCAGCATGAAAGTGGCAGGTTTAGAAAGGATTGAGGAATAGTAAAAAGTGAGTTTAAGTGGGAGAATGTGAGTTGTAAACTCACTTTTTATAACTTGAACTGTAAAAAATGGTGGCTGTCAAAGGTGGCTATTAAAGATGGTGGCTGTCAAAGATAGTGGGAACCATTAATTGTCAAGGAACCAGTATATAACTAAGAATGTAGGAACTCTCTAGAGGGTAGACACTACTTTCTGAATTTTTTTCCTTCCTTTTGTTGTTGTGAGAGTGTAACCGTAAGCTAAAAAATAGAGAGCAACAAGAGTAGAGAAAACACGAATCTTTACTAAATTTGTTATAGTTGTTTTGTTGATAACAGAGAAGAAGACCTAAGTTAACATATATACTCTTCAAATTCAGTAGCTTTTTACACTTTAAACGACAGCGTATTGGGTGCTCATTACTTAAGCTTCAATGTTTCAATGCTTCAGTGAAAACGACAGCGCTTCAATGCTTTCAATAACTATGACTGAAACGACAGCACTCTATTTCTCATATAAACTTTGGCACTTTGTCATTTGTCCAACATTGCCCCTCAAACTAGATTGCCTAAGCTATTTATATTGCGTTGTCTATATTTTGTTGAATTTGTCCAATATTGCGCCTTAAACTGGACTGCATAAGTTGCTGTATTATGCTAGTTAACTTAGCTACATTTGATCAACACGAATGAACTAACTGCATTGTGCCAAATGACTGGGTTGTAATATATCACAAAAAAAAAACTTCAAATCTACAACAGCAAGACTGCATGACTAGGCTGCAATATCTCAATAAAAGAAAACTTCAAAGCTGCAACAACAAATCTGTATTATGCCAAATGACTGGGCTACAATATATCGCCAAAAAAAAAAAAAACTTCAAATCTGCAACAACAAAACTGCAAAATGTCAAGTATCTGGGCTGAATACATCAATCAACTGAATGCAACATAGTAAGGAATTATCTGAGTTGTAAACAAGATAGTTATCTAAGCTGCAAGGATCAATTATCAGAATTTCAAGACATCAATTATCAGAACTGCAGAAGAGCAATTAACTGAGCTACAAATCAGATCAGAAGCAAGATAGTTATCTGAGCTGCAAGGATCAATTATCAGAACTGTAGAAGAGCAATTAATTGAGTTGCAAATCAGATCAAAAGCAAGATAGTTATCTGAGCTACAAGACTCAATTATCAGAACTTCAAGACATCAATTATTAAAACTATAGAAGAGCAATTAGCTAAGCTGCAAATTAGATTAGAAGCAAGGCAAGAGGTAATTAGTACTAAATCAACTATCATTTACTTGCAAACATTTCCTAGTGACACCACATTCAGTTTGGCTCTTAACTCAGTGAACTGAGCAACTGAAAGGGCTTTAGTAGGCAGATCCACAATCTGTAGCTTGGAAAGAACATATTGGATGGCTAGCTCTTTTGCCAAGACTTGTTCTCGAACATAATGAGCATCAATCTCAATATGTTTGGTTCGAGCATGAAATATGGGATTAGATGCAAGAGCACCAGTACTAACATTATCACACCAGATTACTGGTATAGTGTGAAAGGTTAGGCCAAGCTCAGTAAACATATTTTCAAGTCAAGCTATCTCTGTGGCAGTGTGAACAGGGGCTCTATATTCAACTTCAGTGGAGGAAAGAGCAACAACTTTCTGTTTCTTAGAACTCCACTGAATCAAGTTTAGTCCTAAGTATACACAATAGCTACTGGTAGATCTTCGATCCTCGATACTTCCTCCCTAATCAGCATCGGCATAGCACTCAACATGAAGAGTGCTTATTGGTTTAAAAAGAAGGCCAAAATCCAAAGTACCTTTAATGTACCTCAACACCCTCTTACAAGCTTGTTATTGAAGTTCAGTGGGTGCTTGTAAGAATTAACTTAACTTGTTTACAGTGTAACTGATATCTAGTTTTGTAAGAGTTAAGTATTGTAATGCTCCTACAGTACTTCTATACAAGCTAGGATTTTGAAACAATTCACTATCAGTTGAGCTAAGTTTGACATCAACAGTCATCAGAGTTGAGCATGCATGTGCCTCTATCATTTTAGTTCGAACTAATAAATCTGAAGCATACTTGGACTGTTTTAAGTGAATACCTATTGAATCTCTTGTTGCTTCCAAGCCCATAAAATATTTGAGTGAGCCAAGTGTCTTTAAGGCAAAATTACCATTGAGATCTTTCATCAATTGCTTAATAAAGACCTGATTAGAACCCGTGATCAATATGTCATCGACATACACTAGTACATAAATGGAACCAGTGTCTTATTTAAGGATAAATAAACTTGAGTCTGATACTGAGTTTTGAAAGCCTTTAAGTTGTAGAGCAGCCTTCAATCGATCAAACCAAGCTCTTGGAGCTTGCTTGAGCCCATAAAGTGTTTTGTTCAGCTTGCAAACAACATCAGGAAAAGCAGAACTCTCAAAACCAGGCGGTTGCCTCATGAAGACTATTTCAGTTAAAACTCCATTGAGAAACGCATTGTTAACATCAATTTGTTGAATATCCCACCCATGTGTCACAGCTAGAGTGAGAACTATATGTATAGTAGCTGGTTTAATCACTAGACTGAAGGTCTCGAAGTAATCCAGATCGTGAGTCTGTTGAAAGCCCTTTGCAACTAACCGGGCCTTATATTTCTGTAGGGTTTCATTAGCATTAAATTTTGTGCGAAAAAGCCCATTTATTTCCCACTATGTTCATGTCAGAAGTAGGGGCAACAAGAGTCCAGGTGTTGTTAGCTATGAGTGCATCATACTCACACTGCATGTCAGATTTCCAGTTGTTGCTCTGGAGAGCTTCAGAGACTTTACCAGGTTCTGATTCAACAGATTCAATGGTGCCAGATCCACTAATGAGAAGGGCAAAATGTTTATCATCATTAGTTTGACTATAAGGAACAATATGGGACTGGACAATTGACTTGGATCTGGTCACCATTGGATGAATATTCATAGATGTTGATTTATCATTTGGTTCAGCAACAACTTGCGATGAAGTGAGATCAACAACAACCTGACATGGTGGTGATTTATTGGAGCAGAGGGTCTCACCTAGATGACTATCATTTAGTTCAGCAAGAACTTGCGATGAAGTGAGATCAACAACAAGCTGACATGGTAGGAAAGAGCAACCTGCAGGGATAATAAGGAGAGTATCTACTGTGGTTTGATTGTGATTAGTGAAGATTTTATGAACAGAATTAGGTATGCGGATATCAGATGGGTTAGACATAAGATTGAATCTAGAAGAGGCATTGGGAGAAGTAATTGGAATTGTATGAGTTGTTATAGTGTGGGGAGAAGACACAACAAATTTAGAAGTCTTACTAACTATTGCATTGTCAGGTGACTGATCAGTAGAGTCAATTACTGCAGGAGAATCAGGGGGAGCTGAAGGGTGATAATGACTAGGACTAGAGCCACAAGGAAAATTTAAAATTTGTGGATTTGTACAAGTGTCAATATTGGTCTAAGATTGAGAGTTTAGATTTGAGTGTGGGAAAGAAAACATATTATTGACTGTAAAAGGAAATTCACATTAATTTAATTGTACACTGGGGGTGATAATTACTGTTCCATCAGGTTTTAAACATTTGTAACCTTTGTGCAATAAACTATAACCAACAAAAACACACTTTATGGTATGAAAATCAAATTTGTGCCTATTGTAGTGCCTAGTGTAACGAAAACATGAGCAGCCAAAGACTTTTAAGCCTTCATAGACAGGAGTTTGGTTAAAAAGCTTTTGATAAGGACACACATTATTTAGGATAGGGGTAGGCAATCTATTAATTAGGTAAACAACAGTTTCAAAGGCTAGCCAGCAGTATTGCAGTGGCATAGATGCATGGGCCAAAAGTGTAAGTCCAGACTCTACAATGTGTCTATGTTTCCTCTCACTCCTACCATTTTGTTGGTGAACATAAGCACAAGATTGTCTAACCTGAATGCCTTGGTCAACTAAGTATGGTAAAAGGGCTTTGTATTCCCCACCTTGATCAGATTGTAAGGTTTTGAGTTTACATCCAAATTGCCTTTTGGCAAGATGCTGAAATTTGATGAAAACTAATCTGACTTCAGCTTTGGTCTTAAGGGGAAACAACCATGTGAATCTACTGTAGTCATCCAAAAACTACAAATAGTATTTAAAACCTTCTACTGAAGTACAGGGGGTAGGACCCCAAACATCAATGTGGATCAGTTTTAATGGAGCTATAGCATGAGATTGTGATGCTGGAAAACTAGACTGGTGTAATTTACCTAATTGACAAGTTGTTTCTCCTATTTCAAAGTGAATTTTTTTACTTGTTTTTCTCCTTGTATTTAGACAGAAGATGTTGTAACCCATATTTTGTTATAGTGGAAATCCTTCTTTACTTGACCGTGGTTTTTCTCTCAATTTGTTTGAGAGTTTTTCATGTAAATTTCCCGTCTCAATTTTTATTTGTTGTGTGATATTGTTTCAACCCGATTGTTGATTTTCTAACAGGAAATTCATTAAGTGTCAATAAGAGAGTGATCGAAATCAATGCCTGTGCCAAACAATCATGGAGTGGAGTGTATAAATTAAGCAACAGCATGGCGGCAGATCCTAAACACAAGTCCAAGAGATGGCTTAGTAAGAAACTATACGTGTAGAAGATCTATATATGGACCCAAAACTAACAAAGCTGGGGAGGTCTCTCCCTGTGCCTTCTGTTCAAGAGCTGGTGAAGAAGCCACTGAATACGGTTCCACCACATTATGTCCGACGTGATCTAGAAACTCCGGTGATCTTCAATCACACTTCCTTGCCAGAGGTGCCGGTCATCGACATGTCAAAGTTGATTTCCAGAGATTTCATGGATTCAGTGCTGGAGAAGTTCCACCATGCATGCAAAGAATGGGGTTTCTTTCAGGTATATGGATTCACAAAATTTTGTCCGCTCCAAACTTGAAAAATTAAATTAGTCAACAATAGCAATATCTATATATATTCCTAGTTTATTAACATGTATGATTTGCTATGCAGTTGATTAATCATGGAGTAAGCACATCATTAATGGAGAAACCGAAGCTAGAAATTCAAGAGTTTTCAGTCTCCCACTCGAAGAGAAGAAAAATATTCCCAAAAACCAAGAGATACAGAGGGATTTGGGCAGGTGTTTGTTTTTTCAGAAGAGCAAAAGCTTGATTGGGCAGATATGTTATATACCATCACCCTCTCCTCTCATTTGAGGAAACCCCACTTGTTACCCAAACTCCGTCCACGGCTCAGGTTCTCTTTCTGTCAATCCTTCATTTAGTTTCTTTAATATTATCAACTCTACGTAGTTAAAACCCTTAATCACTCTGGTCTTGAATGATTATCAGATTAATTAATGCTCTCTCAAAAGCAGCAAATGTTGTGGACTACTTCAAGGGATATTTTTCTCGCGAACTACGTGGAAAATCATACCTTGATTTCTTGAGAATTAAAAAAGAGGACGATAGACTAATGTGAAAATCCTAATGTTTAGACTCAATGAAATAGAGATACGATATAGAAACAAAAATAACAAACACACAAACCACAAACATTAAAAGAAAGAAGAAGTATGTGTGATTTACCTTAATTCACCCAATTAACAAGCTACGTCCAGGAGAGTCAATAATATTTCAACTGTCTCACCTCTCTCATTTACAATGAAGTAATTTACTCTATGATTACTATCACTTATTACCAGAGAAAAGTGTGTTTATGTACTAGATTTAAAAGACTAAAATCTAATATTACAAGGATTCCTATTCCTAAACTCAAATCCAATAAAGAATTCATAACTTAAAGAAATCCTTCAACGGTTATACAGCGGACCCTCGAATGCATCTACATGGCCCATTAATAGTAAAGTAGTGGATAACTCCAACATAGACTTCTATTAATAAAATTGGTTAATAGTTGACATTTGACAGGCATCTGTTTGATGTTACATGATGTCATTGTAACTGAGAGTGTACTTCAAGCTGGTTTGTTATGAAGTTACCCTGTACGAAATGGAATGATGGCTTCATTCCTATGCCAAACCTGAAGAAATATTAGTCTATAAATTCCAACACTTCTTAAAAGTGATAGATCTTTCACACTTATGTTGGAACAGAGCAGAATCCTTACAGCAGCCATCAGCTGCATTACTATTGTCTCCCAACTTAACATAGACGTCAAGTAACTACGAAAAGATATCAACGATGATTAACTACATATGTAAGAAAAATTAGGCTTGGGCATACTCAATACTCAAGGCCAGGTGGGCAAGTGTCCACCGTTCCTTCTTCGGTCTATCCATTCCATTGTTCAGAAGAGGAGTTTCTAACTCAAAACTGTTTTGGAGAGAATGAGAGAGGACAGTGTTTAAAGAGAAGACTGCAATTGATTATTTAATTTGGCTGGTATAATTGAATAAAATGGTAAGGGGTCACCCCTCAGTGCCCATGAGAACTTTTTAACTTGAAAAGTAACTCTAGACTCAAGTCTTACCTGGGCTAAAATTATGGGCTAGTGAAAGAATTTGGTTAGCCAGCTCTTAGGTCCAAAATATAGATTACAAACCCAAAAGCTCTATATTGCAAAACCTAAAACTTGATGGCCGAACTTAAGTTTAGCAGTCAACATTCATGCTATACCAAAAATATTTAAGTCAGAGCACTAATAAATTAATACTTGATTACAGTTTACTTATTACAAATAGGTCAATAACACACTTATAACTCAATCTCATAAACTTTCTCTCACAATCCTAACATAACAGTTTGCAATTAATCAGTTCGCAAATAGATATTGTCTACTCGCTATGGATTCCATTTACTCATTTATGAATTGACCAATTACGAGTTGTCATGTCGAGATAATAAGAGTAAGTTTGTAAGATTAGATTGCGAGTAAATCTTTATGTTTATAAAAATTAACCAAGCACCACGTTTTCTGCTTTATTTTTAATACCATTTCCAAAGACGCAGCCACCAAAAGAAACTATATAGAATAAGACTTGAAATCTTTTAATATAAGATCAATCATCTACGGAGACAAAGATGTCGAGCTCTCTCCCTGTGCCTTCCGTTCAGGAGCTGGCAAAGGAGCCACTCACTACGCTTCCACCACGATATGTTCGTTCAGATCAAGACCCTCCTTTCACATCCAACGCCACTTCCTTGCCACCACTGCCTGTTATCGACTTACAAAAGTTGCTTTCAGGAGACTTGACGGATTCAGAATTAGACAAGCTTCACGATGCATGCAAAGAATGGGGTTTCTTTCAGGTATTAGGAAAAAGATAAAACAGAAATTCGTAATCGTATATATTTCATGTCATGTGTCATGTATAAAATATGTTTTAAGATGGATATGTTTTATTTTGCAGTTGATAAACCATGGATTGAGCAGTTCATTGGTGGAGAAGGTGAAGATAGAAACTCAGGAATTTTTCAATCTGCCAATGGAGGAAAAGAAGAAGTATTGGCAAAAAGAAGGAGATACGGAAGGCTTTGGGCAGTTGTTTGTTTTTTCAGAGGAGCAGAAGCTTGATTGGGCAGACATGTTCTTCGTGAACACCCTCCCAATTCATTTGAGGAAGCCACACCTATTTCCCAAGCTCCCTCTCCCTTTCAGGTTTTCTCTTTCTGCCAAATATTTGCTTTGTCAAAATCTCTACCTGTGCACGCCATCATATCATTATTTAAGTTAAATTATTAGGAAACCATTGGCTTGGATACTATAACTTGATTCAATCAACCATTTGAAATTAAACATGACGAGGTATGTCATTATCACGATTAGTCAAGAATTTAACACATATTTTCAACAGAATTGGTTTTGAATAATATATAGAGGCGCTTTCCAATTTGGACCTAAATTTACCAGTGGAATATATATTAGCATACACGACCTAGAATTTAATGTTAAAAGGTTAAGTTAAAAATAAAATAATATAATTTTTTTTTTTTTTTTTTTTTATAAGGATATTGTTATGCATTAGAAATTGGGATCTTAATTTTGTATCCCAAATGACATGACAATTTACATGTTACTACTAGATTATTGATTAAAAAGAAGTTATTCACTTATCCCGCTATCATAAAATCAAGATGATACTGACATATAACCCACCATATCACTCAGGAACAAAGTTGGAATTCCAACTAGTATTATTGAAAAAAAAAGATATGTTTAGTATTATTGAAGAAAAAGATATAACTACTTCACTATGTGTGGGGTCAATTTACAAAATAAATTATTTTAAATTAGAAAAAAATAAGACAAATACAAAGTAAACAAATAAAAAAAAAAAAAATTGGGTTAGGTTATCTGCCCCCACTCGTCTTTTCATAGGTCAGACCTTGCCACCTGGTTATGTTTAGTACATAACGTTTGTTGGGGGAAATTTTAGTGCAGGTACTTGCCTATGAGACAAATATTAGTAGGTGGGTCATATTCACATTAAAGTAAACTCTGTGGTTGTCTGTTACACTTTTTTTTTTAAATGTTATTTAGAAAAAGTAGAAAAAGTGTTTGAAGTTAGTTGAGTTGAATCAAATCGAGTTAAATTTGAGTATGAAAATGTGTTTAGTAAAATATCTAAAAATTATATCAGAATTGGATAAAATATTGAATAGTTATTTAGTATATTTTTTTAAAAAGGTTTTTAAGATAGAATAATTGTTTGATATATTTTCTAAAAATATTTAGATTACTTTTTAACTCCTTACATTTGTTAATTTAGTTAAATACCCCTATAATAAAAGTTTAAAAATTAACTAAAGCACCCTAACAATCCAAGAGGACAATTGGCCACCGACCATCATCGACAAACAACAACCGTCAGTCACTGGAATGGCACACGATCAACTGGATCTGGTTGATATAGTCATTTTCAGTCAGATCCACCATGATGGATCTGGCCAGAAACGACTAGATATACGACCAAAATCTAGCCGTCTTCAATGATTGATGCATGATCGGCCAAATCTGATTGGTCGTACGCCGTTCCGGCCACATCGGTCAATGGTGGCTGACGGTCGACGGTGGTTGCTGGCAAGCGGTGGTGTCTGGGGTGGATTAATTTTCAAATTGGAAGGAGTGAAAGAAAAATATTTTTGGTTGAATAAAGTTAAATAATCTGAAAAGAAGTCCCACCCTCGTTTCATTTTTAGACAAAAAATCTTATTTGAGTTGGATTAATTTTCAAAGTTTATTAGCCCAATAAGTAAACAAACACATATTCTATTTTTTAATTCAAATATAGTATCAGAATTATTATCTAGAAAAGTGTAACAAACAGGGGCTAAAATTTTGTCAAATACTTTAATGTTTTAGGATTTTTTAGTAATGTTTTGATCCCTATTTGTAACATTTTAATCCTTATAATTAACAAACTTCAGGGATTAAAATGTTTAATTTTCTTTACTTCTTCAACAATCTTATGTCTGATGTTAAATTAGATCCCAATATGATGACCCGAGAGACAAAGTAAAATGAATTTTTAATGCGAATCAAAGATTTGTCTTTATTTATTTTAAATGTAGAGAAATCTTGGAAGCTTACTCGGTAGAACTAAGAGATCTTGCCATGACAATCCTGTACCAAATGGCAAAAGCTCTAAGAATTGAGGCTGATTATTTCAAAGAATTGTTTGAAGAAGGGAGGCAGGCCATAGGAATGAATTACTTAGGGGTGAGCACGGGTAGCGGGTAGAACCGGAACCGGGGGTAAGAACCGGAACCGGAACCGGAACCTACCCAGAACCTGCACTGTGCGGGTAGGTTCCGGTTCCAATTTTTTGGAACCGCTACTGTGCGGTTCCGGTTCCGGTTCTTGCATGTGGGAACCGGAACCGGAACCAGAACCTGTAAAAAGGGTACCATGTTTGGAACCTGTAGGGTTACCCAGTTGGAACTTTTTGGAACCTGTTTTGGAACCTGTTTGGAACTTTTTTGGAACCTATTTGGAACCTGCTTTGGAACCTGTTTTGGAACCTGTTTGGAACCTGTTTTGGAACCTGGTTTTGGAACCTGTTTAGAACCTATTTTGACCTGGACTATAATGAAATATTTTGAAATGTAATAATAGAAGTTTCTATTATTTTACATATAAAAAAATTTAAAATAGAAAAAGTTAAAATTTTAGAATACCAACATTAATAATATACGATTACAATTATACTTATTACTATAAATTACCCATATTAAAAGCTTTATATATTATAATACATTATTTAAAGTTTTGATCATTAAGTGAATTTGGAATTTGATCTAATTAAAGTGTTTTACATTTTTAATGTTATTAAAAGAATTATTTTTGAATAAAATAGTATATTTGATTGAGTGATAATAATTTAGTTATTTACTTCAATATCAAGTTCTAAGTATATCTATAATAAATTAGTAATTAATTATTAATATGATAAATTGATAAACATTAATAGATTTAATTACTAGTTAAATATCATACTTAATCAATTATAACTACTTATTATAGTTAAATGTTACTTAATTAATTTAATTATAACATACTTAATTGTTATAGTATAATTAATTATAGCATTACATTAATTGATTACTACTTAATAATTGACTTATAAGTTATAACTAATTAAATAGTTAATTAATTGACTTTAATTGAAATTTAATTAATTATAGCATTACGTTATAATTTATAGTATAATTACTTAATCATTATAACATTTTATTATAAACATTAGTACAAACGTAATTAATGATTAAAAATTTAATTAATTATAATATTATATAAAAATTTATAGTATATTACTTAATAGTTAATTCCACTATAACTTACATTATAGTATGATTATAATAATTATATAACATTACATAATTAAATAATTACTTAATTGACTATGTCATTATATTATAATATTATATTAATATTTACTACATAAACATTAGCATAATACTTATAAATGATAAAAATTTAATTAATTTATACATTGCCTATAAACATTTCATTATAAACATTAATTAAGCATTACATTAGTTATAATTACTACTCAATAATTATAATATTATATATTACATTATATATTATGATCACTTACTTAATTATAGCATTACATAGTTAAATGATTACATAATTACATAATTAGTTATGAATTTATAACATTACATTATAAACATGTAATTTTACTAATTTACTATATTATTACATTACTTAATTAAACGATTAAAAATTTAATTAATTATGACATACCTTACATATTTAATATGGTTACTTAATCAATTATAACATTCCATTATAAACATTAGTATATTAATCAATGATTTGAAATTTAATTAATTATATTAAATTATAATTTATAGTATGATTACTTAATTCATTATAACATTACATTATACTATTATATTGATCATATAATTAATATACATTACATAATTAAATGATTACTAATTAATTTGAGTTTGATATTATGTTTAAACATTAGTAATTACTAATTTACTACAAAACATTAGCACAATACTTAATTAAATGATAAGAAATTTAATTTTATAACATTACATTATAAACATTAATTAAGCATAAATTATAGTTAAATAATTACTCAATTAATTATAATATTATTATATTACTTTATATTATGATCACTTACTTATATAGCATAATAGTTAAATGATCACATAATTACTAATTAGTTATGAATTTATAACATTACATTATAACATTAGTAATTTACTATACTATTACATTACTAATTAAACGATTAAAAATTTAATTAATTATAACATTACCTTATATATTTATAATATGATTACTTAATCAATTATAACATTCCATTATAAACATTAGTATATTAACAATAATTTGGAATTTAATTAATTAAATATTAAATTATAGATTTATAGTATGATTACTTAATTCATTATAACATTACATTATACTATTACAGTATGATCATATAATTAATATAACATTACATAATTAAATGATTACTTATTGATTATAAGTTATGATATTATGTTTTAACATTAGTATTACTATTTACTACATAAACATTAGCACAATACTTAATTAAATGATAAGAAATTTTAATTATAACATTACCTTATAAACATTTCATTATAAACATTAATTAAGCATTACATTATAGTTAAATAATACTCAAATAAATTATAATATTATTATATACTTATATATTAGATCACTTACTTAATTATAGCATTACATAGTTAAATGATTACATAATTACATAATTAGTTATGAATTTAAAACATTACATTATAACATTAGTAATTTACTATTTCTATATTATCACATTACTTAATTAAACGATTAAAATTTAATTAATTATAACATTACCTTACATATTTATAATATGATTACTAATCAATTATAACATTCCATTATAAACATTAGTATATTAATCAAATGATTGGAATTTAATTAATTATAATATTAAATTATGATTTATAGTATGATTACTAATTGATTATAACATTACATTATACTATTACAGTATGATCATATAATTAATATAACATTATATAATTAAATGATTACTTAATTGATTATAGTTATGATATTATGTTTTAAACATTAGTAATTACTAATTTACTACATAAACATTAGCACAATACTTAATTAAATGATAAGAAATTTATAATTATAACATTGCCTTATAAACATTCATTATAACATTATTAAGCATTAATTTATAGTTAAATAATTACTCAATTAATTATAATTATTATATTACATTATATTATAATCACTTACTTAATTATAGCATTATATAGTTAAATGATCACATAATTACTTAATTAGTTATAATTTATAACATTACATTAAAACTTAGTAATTTACTAATTTACTATTATTACATTACTTAATTAAACGATTAAAAATTTAATTAATTATAACATTACTTTATATATTTATAATATGATTACTTAATTATTATAACATTCCATTATAAACATTGGTATATTAATAAATAATTTAAAATTTAATTAATTATATTATTAAATTATAGATTTATAGTATGATTACTTAATCATTATAACATTACTTTATACTATTATAGTATGATTATATAATTATATAACATTACTAATTAAATGATTACTTATTGATTATGATATTATATTATAAACATTAGTAATTTACTAATTTACACAATACTTATCAAGTTATTATAATTTTATTAATTATAACATTATATTATAAATTTATGGTATGATTATTTAATAATTATAACATTCTATTATAAACATATTACATACTTAATTAAGTGATTAATAATTTAATTATTATAATATTACATTAAATTAAATAGTATATTACTAATTAATTATAACATTCAATTTACATTGTAGTATGATCACTTAATTAATATAATATTACAATTTACATTGTAGTATGATCCCTTATTTAATTATACATTACTAGTTCTAATATAATTTACTAAATTATATTTGGTATATTAAAATACCCAATTGACCATTATACCATTAAATTAATAAATATTATAATTTTTTTATGTGAATTGTGATGAATAATTGTTTGTGTTTTGGTTTTGATTGACGAATTTCATGTGAATTGTGATGAATTGATTGAATTCAAGTGTTGCTTAGAGATTACAGGTTATGAGTTACATTGGACACAAATGAATGAATAATGAAAATTTGTTAGGGGTGTATTTGTAAACTTATACGGTGTTTTTGTTATTTTTTAAACTAATAGGGTGGTAATTGATTTTTTACAGGGTACCCTGGAAAGGAACCGGAACCTGCATTTTAGGTTCCGGTTCCTTGAATTGAAGAACCTGCACTGTGCGGTTCCGGTTCCGGTTCCTTTTTTTGGGAACCTGCACTGTGCGGTTCCGGTTCCGGTTCCCCCAAAAAATGCAGGGTACCCGAACCGCTCACCCCTAAATTTATTACTATCCTCCATGTCCACAACCAGAGCTTGCTATAGGCCTCAATCCTCATTCTGACGCTGGCGGCCTTACCATCCTTCTCCAGCTCAATGTGGTGGAAGGCCTTCAAATTAAGAAAAATGGGATGTGGGTTCCTGTTCAACCCCTACCAGGTGCTTTTATCATCAACATTGGAAACATTTTAGAGGTAATGATCATCCTCTCAATTGATAATAAATAGCAGTTAGTTTAGTTCAGTTAGTTAGATCAGTTGGGAATTGTGATTATATAGGGATCTTAAAGTGAAATAAGATGAAGGGCATAACTAGATATTGTTTAATTTGTGTTTGTGATTTTGCAGATTGTAACCAATGGAATTTACCCTAGTATTGAGCATCGAGCAGTAGTAAACTCGGCCAAAGAAAGGCTCTCAATTGCCACATTCTACAGCCCCAAAATAGACGGCAATATGGGTCCAGCGCCAAGCCTTCTTACACCAGAGACTCCGGCGTTGTTTAAGACAATGAGCGTTGCAGACTACTTCAAGGGATTCTTTTCCCGACAACCGCAAGGAAAATCATACCTTGATGTCTTGAGGGTTCAAAATGAGAATGAGAGTGATTGAGTAAAGTGGAAATTCAAAGGTTTGGTTTGTTTAAAAAGTTTCTTAATAATTGACAGGGCATTTGTTTGATGCTACATCTTGCCATTGTAATTGAGTAATTCTGGCTAGTTTGTGACCGAGATTCGAGGGACCAATTTGAGATTAAACAAAGTTTTACGCTTGTATAATTATAAATAATTGACAGGACATCTGTTTATGCTACATCCATTCGATCTGACATTGCTAAATTGATAGAAGATGAAAACAAACAAAAACTTACGAGAATTGACGGATTTTGGGAATCATGTAATCTTGCTCTACTTTGTAGCCGGTAAAGCTAGGAGAAAATGGATGCTCCACGATATTTCTATAGAGTTAAAAATCATAGATATTTGACGCTCAATGTTGGAACAGAGATAATCCTTACAGCATGCGTCAACTGCATTATTATTGTCTCCAAACCTGACATAGTAAAATTACAAAAACATATGAAGCAACAACTCAAGAGGTAGAGTTAAAAGTAACTGCAAATATATCAATAAGGATACTATCCTCCATGTCCCATTGTACAGTCAATGTCTCTCCTATACCCCTACCACTCTGTTTCCCACTTGCTCGCCGTTCATCATTCAAGCAACACTACTGTCTACCATCGGTTTTGGTCCAGGTCGGGCAACGGGGTATTTTCGTCTTCAAAATGAATATCATTGTATTTAATGAAAATTATTCATGGAATATAACGTTTCGATAGTAAAGTTGTATTTTGAAACTTTTTGTGTGGGAATGGGCTAAGGCAAACCTTGGGTGGGAAAAAGTCGTTTACTCATAAATTAATATAAGACTTTTTGCTTTATATTTTAGAGTAAATGGCTTTTTCCTACCCAAGGTGTGCCTTAATGACATTTTCCCACTCAAAAAGTTTTAAAATACCACTTTACTACCCAAAGCATAGTTGCATTAGTAAATTTCGTTGTAAAGAAAGACAGGATGATCAAAAGTCTCGTTATAGGTAAGGACATGATGGTCAATTAACCTACTCCACAAAACTCGAACCGCCCCCCGAATCAACTCAATCTCTTCATCTTCCGCATAACCTCACCTTTGTCGGCGTTGTCGTTGGCCGTTTAAGCGTTGTCTTCCATCGATTTCCTCGCTAAATAGATACATCTTTTCACCCTTTCATCCATTGAGCCATTCCTTAGCAAATCTTTCCAAGATGTGGCCGAAATCAAACTTTTTTTGGCAAAATCCTCCACCGCATGCAACAATTGACCTTGGCCTTAATTATCCTATTTTTCTGGCATTGACAATTGCCCTTGACACCACCAAAACACTTCCCTTAGCCTCCTAAACAAAACCTGTCTTTCCGCTTCTTTGTTCATCCTGCTAATTGTCGACTACAACCCACTATTGTGGCCACGTGATTTTTGCGATTTCGGTCAATTCCTTCACTGGAAACCACCATTCTTCTCATCAACACCCTTCTCCAAAACCCCAACAGCCCTGACATCGTTCACTTGTCGATCGTTGCCCTCCTCTCTAGGGTTTGTTTCTTCATGAAACTAGGGTTTTTGATCGTCTGATGAAATTAGGGCATTGTGGAGGTTGATTCTTGAAATTAGAGGTTGTAGAAGTGTTATGTGTATGTGGCTTTGATTTTTTTGGCTGTCGATGAGCCCCATTATCCAATTTCTTAAGCTCTAAGCCACACCCACCAACTGCTTAACGAAAGTCACAGACCAAGTTCCAGTAGCCCACGCTTGTGTGCACCACGCCTGCCTACGTGACTTCTCATGCACGCACATCGATGACCCCCATCGTCAGATTTTGGAGAGTTATTGTGTTTGTTTTGACTATTGATTGGAATTGATTGAATGGTGGGTTGATTGGTTAAAAAAAAAAAAAAATAGACTAGATGGAGGTGGTATTGGTGGTGGTGGTGGAGCAGGAAGAAGAGGAAGAGGAGGTGGAGTTGGTGGCGGTTTTGGCCAAGATGGAGGCTAAGAAGAGAAGGGAAGAGAAGAAGAAAAGAGAAATGTATTGTCATCTTCACAATGAATATCACTGTATTTAACATAAATTATTAACAAAACATACTTTTGGGTAGTAAAGTGGTGTTTTGAAACGTTTTGGGTGGGAAAGTTCATTAAGGCAAACCTTGGGTCGGAAAAAGTCGTTTACTCTTAGAGTGCGTTTAGTTTAGGGAATGTTGTATTACTGGAAATGTTATATTAATGAAAAGATAGATTACTAGGAATGTTTAGAGAAATACGTTTGATTGGTTCAAATAAATTACTAGATATGTTGTATTAATATGTTTGGTTAGGAGGAATAAAATGGTAGGTATATTATATAAATTACTAAATTGCCCTTCCTTTTCAATATTAATATCAAGGTTTTAAAACTCGACCCAGGAAGTAACCTGGCCAAGCCACCGGGTCTCAAGTTTGATGGTTCAAATAGTTTGACAGGCAGGTCGGATCGTGACATAAGCAAAAAACCAAAAAAAGTTTAAAAAAATGCAGATTTTAACAGTGATAATAAAATATCACTCCTTCATTGATAAGTTTGTGAGGAAATTCCCACGGACGAAGATTGTTGCCCAGACCCAGATGATGACATTCTCGATTTTGTCTATTCTCTGGCAACCAACAACAACAAAGATAAATGTTAGCACTTATCTTATACTCTTTAAGCAAAAAATTAAAAAATTGCAAACAAATTTGAGACATTGCTTATATGAGAAATAGCACACTACATTGTGCAAAACTGCAGTGTGAAAATGCACATTGTAGTCCATTTTTGCACACTGCACAAAATCAAAGACACCATTTTTGCACACTTCAATTCTTAAACAAAACCAATCTCACACCAAACAATCACCTCTTCAATATCAAGTTTCAAACCCACTTCTTTCATATCAAACAATCTCTATGACTCTATCTCAAACACAAACAATCTCACAGCAAACAAAAGTTACAAAGAACAGTAACAATAACAACAATGAAACACACAAAACTCATGGGAGTTGCCGAAGATCAAAGAAGAAGAAGCTATCAAAGCCAAAGCTGGAAGATCAGAAATTCAGAAGTCATCCAAGGCCCGAAGATTGAAGATTGGTTGAAGATTGGTTGAAGATTTTGATGATTGAAGATCAGAATCAAAGAACCCAAAGATCGAAGAAGTTGAAGTCGCTGTTTGGTTTTTTTATTTTTACTTTTTTGCTGGGTTTTTCGAATGAAATTAGGAAAGGGAGAAAAGGGTTTTAATTTTAATTATTTCCTTTTTGGTGTTACTATAGCAGATCTGGTTTATACTAGTTGGACCGACGGTTTGTCACAAAAAAAATTAGTCCAACCACGGTTTGAAGCGAGTCAATTAATGATTTTGGTTTTTTGTATGAACTGACCTGGTCTGGCCACCAGTTCCCAGTTGAACCGATTCAACCAGCCGCTAGGCCAGGTTTTAAAACCATGATTAATATAATATTACTTATATTTTTTTAATGATTTCTTTTAACCCCCTACATTTGAGATATTGCTAAAACACCCTAGCCATATAAAAGTTTAATTTCTAATCAAATGACCCCCACCCACCACAAGCCATTGTTGGTCGCCTACCACCATTGCCGATGGTGGCGACGGTGGTAGTGGCTGGAACAACGCATGACCGGTTGGATCTGGTCGACCATATACCGATTAGCCATTGTTAACCAGAATTTGGCTGTTGTTTGTTAACGATGGCTAGAGATTTGGCCATCGTTAACGGCCAAAAGTTGTAGATATGATCGAAAATGGCCATATCAGTGCACGAACTGCCAAATCCAACTGGTCATATGTCATTCTGGTGCCAGTGGCCAAAGCTGGTGGCCAAATTCGACCACCAGTCTTGGGTAATTTTATTCAAGTTCAAGGGTATTTTTATCCTAAAAATTTTGTATATAAAGATAAAATAGTCCATAAATATATTTGTAAATTGTTTTCAAATAAGGGTATTGTTATGCAAAAAATTTAATAGTTAAGAGTAAAATTGTACCTAAGAAATTTGAGGTAATTAGATTACCTCCTATGTAATCAACAATAATTACTATTGGTTTTGAAAGATCACCAAAATCTTATATTGCTTGACAACCAAATATTGTAATCTAAGTAATATAAGATGATATTATCTCAGTAATGGAGATAACCCAACCAAACGCCGCCTTATAGTTTATATCATTTCCAAAGACGTAGCCACCAAAAAAATAAAATATACAAACTAAGGCGTGAAATCATTTTGTAGACTATTTTTGTCAAAACTTATGTTATTTGTGTGCACAATAGTTGTGTATGCACAAATTGCCAAACTTACATGTTTGGTTTGTTTCGTATCGAGTGTGTGCATAATAGTTCTATGCTTGCACACTCGCATCAGATATTATCAACTTGGCATGAGTTGCGTTTTGTTTAAAGTAGAAAAGATATTTATTTATCTTTTGAACTAGTTTTAGGACCATTTACAAGTGTCAAAATTTCCTTATGTGGTCCAAGGGAATAACCTTGTTTTTTCCCGATTTGGTTGTGGCCTAAAAAACTAAAGTATGAATCTTTTCCTCAAATGGACAAACATGAGTCAACCCTTGTTTGCTGACTTGCATAGATTGTTGAGCAAGAAAACTCATACTTATATTCTTCTTTCTTGCGTCTTTGGAACCTAACCCTTTGATATTTGTTTTGCTTTTGCTCTAAAATTTCCAGAGAGTTTTTCCTCAAAGGTTCAACTTATGTTTATGTGTCACTTTCGAACATGTAGGGACCAAAGTGATATTCTGCATTTTGTTATATAAAAAGAAGATGAAAATTCGCGTACAGTGGAGGCTGTTCACCCAGTTTTCTGCCAAGCTCGGGCTACCGTTCATCTCCCTCCGGCGACGATTCATCTCCCCATGCACCGAACTTCATCAACCACCGCAAGCCACCACCGCGAATCACGGAAACGCCGCGACGTTTCATCTTCCCGCCGCCGCGACGTTTCGTCTTCCAGGCGAGATTTTGCCCTTTTTCGAATACGATTCGGCTCCCCAGGACTTGATCTCCCTTCCCCACGGTCGGATCTACACTTCCCTAGCTTCAGCCGCCGCGAAAACCGCCGAAATCCGCAATTTTGCCACCACGCCTCTTCATCTTCCAGTCCAGATCCTGCTCATTTCTGGTGACTTCTCACCTCCCCAAGA